AGCTCTGCTTGAGGTTGAGGGCCGGGGAGGGACCCGGAACAAGCGCTACCAGCACCTGCCGTGTGCTTTGTCCTAAAAGCCTTTACTGGTGGAGAGGATTGTCCACGGAGTGTGCAGCAGAAATGGAAACGTGGGGCTGGAAGGGGGAGTCCCCCGCAGGGTGCTGAGCCATCACGCCGGCCTGTGTCTCGGCTGTTTTCCCTCGGGGTAGGGACACTTGTGGCAGTGCGGGACACTTGGTGCTTCCACAGATACCTGTGTAGCTAGCTGTAGGACTGACTCACTGGTAGTTACCCCATCAGTCTCCTGGCCTCAGTGAGAGTTTCTGTACTCTATTTAAACACCACCTGTCTCCAGCAGCAGGACATGTTCCAGGTCTCAGAAATGTCTCAGTCCTTAGGGAGGCTGACATGGCCCCTTGAAAACGAAGCTTCTTCATCTTTTCAGGCTCTAGACAAACGGTTCCTCTTTTTCTAAATTGTGCAAGGAAGTCGGCTTTTTTGTTTTCCAGATGTCCAGCCCTTGGGTGTTCCTGCATATGTTAGGTCTCTGCTTTTAAGTGGCAAGTACACCGTATAAATAAAAAAGGATTCAAAACTGAAATACCAGTTTCTCTAGAAGTTTCCTTCACAATTTCTGCTATCAACTTTTCAGAAAGGGAGGCTAAACAGATCATCTGCACTCTCCTTTATTTTACTGCAGATCCATAACCGTGACCTAAATTCTTCATGCTAATCTTTACTTTTATGCAAAATTTGTTAGTTCTTAAAAAAAATAAATCTTAAAACACGTGCCATGTTTGTCAGTCATCAAGGTTCTTCTAATGGTAGCTTAGGCTGGCTCATTGCAGCTGACTGCACCTGCTTTCTTGTTCCTTTTTATTGTTACAACTTCACAGGCCTAACCTTTTTCTAGTTGCTCCTCAATGATGTTTCTCCACATTTCTGATGTAGGGGTTTACCAAACGCTGCTGTGTGTAAAGTGCTACTACAGGTGTGTAAACCCAAGTTACACAAACACCAACATTCAATTGACATTTTCTTCCAAGAAGACAAGATATGATTGTGAAGTCATTGATGCAGCAGTTGGGAATTTCTCTTCTGCTGCTTCCCTAACCTTTCTCAAGGAGAGTCTGTCATACCACTACTGAATTTCTTGCCTGGTGGTTAGGGTGACTCACTGACTGTGGTCCTGGGAAGAGTGAACTATTGCTTGTTTCTATACATAGATTAGAAGGCAAGAGCATTAAAGACAGATTGAAGTTCTTTTTTCCAGTGTGTTTTTTTTAGTGGTGATTTTCAATTGCCCTGAAACCTATTTCCTGGTTTTGATGCAACACCTGAAATTTCTCATAATCTTCTGACAAGTTATCATTTTTCTGTCATCTTCAAATTCTGTCATATCCCTGTTTGCTGTTTTCCCCAGATAATTTTCTAACTTAAAACATTTCACAGCATGGTCCAGTTGATAATGTGCAGTGTGTTTTTCTGTAAAGATACAGAAGATCCATATTCTTCCTTTTCTTCCACCCCAGTTTCTTAACCAGTACCTATACAAAATACTGTCTCTGTTCTTAGGTTACAGTTCTCGTATTTCATATCTTCTACTGGGCAGTGATTTTTGTTTTCTAGTCTATATAACCAAGATTTTTGTCCTGGGCTTCCCAATGAGGAACAACATTGAGTCATTATTAATATCTGGAAGAAGGTGATAAAGGTTTGTCCCTAGGCCAGGAACAACATACAACAAATGAGTTGTTTATACTGACTTGGGAATATCAATGGTATCTGTTAAATTGCACGTCTTAATAGGAACATAAGAAGCAACAAGTGATAAGTGACCAATAGTCTTTGTTAAATAAGAAGAAGGATTCTGTGATGTGGATAAAGTGAACATCTGGGCAGCTAATGGAGTATGACACAATAATTGAGATAGAAAATGAAAAAAGGGTGAAAAGACTTGAGACAACATTCTTAGCATGGTAAATGCAAGAATTATTTCATTAAGGAAAAAAAATACTGTAAAAACTAGTAAGCTGGGATCTAAAATATCTGTCATTGTATGATAAAGTCTAGGCAGAAAGCAGGTACCACTAAGTGAATTGGAGACAAAGAATGCTTCATCATGCCCCCTTGCAAGGGGAATGATTGTCATTCATATGGGGAGCTGTCATGCATATGGGGAGCGTAGATGGGCTCATCCCTATTTTGATTTCAGTTCTGATTCAGCTAGAGTTGACAAGGTTAAACACTTCCTTTTTGCAGAAAGCAGTGGTTTCCTTTTCGAAGGGTGGTGTGCACATCCTCAAAGTGCAGGTGACTGTGTTTAACTGAAAAGTTAAAACATGCAAAAAGAAAGAAAAATTATGCTGCTAATGTGAAATGTTCTACTTTGATAGGACACCAGGCCTGGACATCACAGACAACAAAAGGTCAAGAGGTCTCTGGAAAGCAAAAAGTATGTGAATGTTTCTTGTTAGTTTGACTGAGGGCAAAAAAAAAACCTGAGAGATTCATATTGGAAAACTATATCTGGCGTTTACATAATACTCTGAATTTTAAAGAGCTGCAAGTGATTTTGGTTTGCGTGATGAGAGTCTTGACAGACTTTGCTTTCTGGTGTGTAGGAAAAGTGCTTTTCTAATACTTCAAGGCGTATTAGCATTCATTTATGGTTTTGAAAAGGATTGGGAAATATTTTATGTTCAAGACAAAATGGTACTCGAAAGTCTATATATTTTGAGTGTGATTGCAACTGAAAGGCTTTAATTGGAGAATTCCTCCGCCCGTTCTTCTGCAGTACTTCCTTAAACATGGTATATACTGATCTGACCTGGTACTATCAGTGTTCTCCACTTCCTGATTTCTAGATTGATGCGTTAAGACGTGAGCTTGACAGCTCTTACCTTAATAGTATTTACCCAGAGAACAGATACTCTGTTTCTTTGATACCTCATCATTTTGCTGTCATGTACAGTAGCGGAAATGTCCAGGCATTTCAGGACTGAGGGAAGTACGTGAGAATAGTGAAGTTCTCTTTGATCTTTAGGAAGAAAAATTAGTGCTGCTGGCTAGTTTAAAGTACTCATAATGTGATTTGTAGGATGTACTATTAGGCTGTCTTCATTGCTGAAAACCTTGCAGGCTAAAATTCTTACTAGTTTTAAGTCTTTTAGTTGTGTAGTGTCAGCTCTGACTCTGGGAATACATACCAAAGGAGATCTCGCCCTTCATGGTATGGAAAAGGTGTCTTAAGATGATGGACTGCAGTAGAATTCTTATATTCAGCATTGGTTGCTTAAGGATAAACATATTTTTACATTGAGATTAACCTGTGCCTGCTTCTTATGTGAAAGATTTGAGGTAGGATGAATATTTTTTTTCTGTTCCTCTCAAGAGCTTTCTAATGTCATTCTCTAAAAGACGTGCTGAGAAATAACATTTAGGATGTTTTATCTTGCTGGCACTTTTCAGTTCACAAAACTTGAGAGATTCAATGAGATGAATTTTTAGAGTACTCGGGAAGATGAAAGATGTTGTCTGTCAAGTTACTGTGGTTTTGTGTGTGTGTATGCATCTACGTACAATTTCAAGTTGATGTTTTCCAGGTCTAAGCAATTTGAGGAGGTGGAAACTACTGTCCAAGGTCTGAACAGTAACTATGATGAGACAGTCAGCAACATTTCTTCTGATGCACCAAAGGGCCAAGTGAATGGCAGCTCAGAGTCCAGAAGCAAGCGGACCATTCGAAGGCCTGCTTACTGGCTGGAAATGAGAGGAATCAAAAACAGCATTAACAAGTCTTCAGAAAAAAAAGGTACCCATCACTCTTGGCTCGATGCAAACCTGGTTTTCTCTCTGGTTCTTTTATGAGAGATTAGATGACTTCGGAAAAACACGCTGCAGTTCAGCCACAAATTACAAGCTTGGTAATTAATGCTGGTCATGTATTAGGGGAAAAACTTCCTCCAGTGCAGAAACAGAGGTATAATTCTCTGATGTTACACAGTTCCTTTTGAGTGACTGGTCTATTAAAATTAATGATTCTGTGGCTGAACTCAGTTTTATCTGTAGAAGAGATATGTATAAGAGTTCTGCCAATCATATCAGAAATACGCTTTTAAGAGCTTTAAAAATAGGACAAACAAAAAAAGGGACCAGTCATCAGTATTCTGGATTAGACACAGCTTTTGGTGGTGGTAGATGTTTAAATTTTTTTTTAAGGATTATTTTATTTCTTTAATTTTCTTACTTCTGTCACTTATGATTTTCTGATTTCAAGTGATTTGGGTCTTCGGTTGTTGTAGGAACATTCAGATTTCCTGGCCTAGGAGCTGTTTTCCAAAGTTGCATGTGTGACAGAGAGCCAAAACTTCACTTTTCTTTAGTGCACCTTCTTCTTAAGTCAGAATCTGTATTCCATCCTGTTGTGGGGAGAGCTGAATCTGGTAGTTTCATTGAAGTGAAGTTTATGCAGCTCCACATTCCCCGGTCCAATCAGTAGCAAGACTAGGCATGTATTCCTGTAGCTATAAATACACATATTTAACATGTAATCACAGTCAGCCACACAGATCAACACGAAGAGGCGTGCTCAGCATTCACACAGACAGCACCACTGGCCTCCATCCTGTTTCCCTCCGCAGCTGATCAGGATGAATATGTGTTGGTGAAAGAAGATAAGCCTATATAAAAAGTGTATATAAAAGAAGGACATACATGTATGTATACATACATTTGTGTGTGCGCACATATGTGCAATGTGACTCTGTCCTGTAGCTGGACTTACACAATCTGCTCGGTACCTGCCTTTGGATCCTGGTCTCCTCAATTGTTGGTACATGGTTGAACTGTTCCCTGAGGCCCGCAGAGTCATGCCAGTTCGTGGTGTGCACCTCCTTGCAGACAGGCTCACACTCACAGAAACTGCTCTTTGCTGGTCGCTCTGATCTGGTGTCAGGCATGAGCAGACCTGTATACTGACCTGTTTACAAGCAAGTGACCCTTTTTATCCTCTTACACCTCTGTTTCCCCACACTTGATCCTCCCCAAATAAGCTAATTCTTTTCCTTTCCCTTCCTTTGATACCACTTCTAAACATCCCAGTCTTATGTAATTGTGAATTGCTCTTCACTAGTATACAATATGTCATATAACTCTAGGAATTGACACCATGCTCTCCCTTCTCACCACTCCCCTTCTTACCCCTTTTAAAGGGTGCTCCAGAGAGCAGCTCACATTGACTCATCCTGGGGTGTCTCCTGGTACAGACCTGGGAGGAAGGTGTCTGTTTCTTGGAGTCCATAATTTGTGTTCTCCTGCCTGCCATTCTGCTTCTGTACTTCTCTGTTTTCATGAAGATAAGCTTTTATAGGCTTGAAAATACTGAGAAGAGTCAGAATATTATTTGGGTTTCCCCACCTGCTGTTGTTTCTCTATTCTCCCTTGTGTGTGTGTGCAGATAAGCTTTTTACGACATGACTTAGCACCTTGTGGCTCTCTTCCTGAGGAGTATTATTTTTCCAGACCATGCTGTGGCACTGTTTCTTCCATATCTTCTTTCTGGAATTGTGAGGTGTGAAGTGACTAAATATTATTGAGTCCAAAAGCTGTGTCTAGCCCACTGGTGTCCAGGTGCCTTACAAAATAAAAAACTTTTTTTCTTAAACTATTGAATATGAGGATAAGCTGAGGCAGCAGCAGATTCAAAGCTGTTATCCAGACTGCCTAATGAGACTGAAGAATTTCTGTTCTTACTCATTAGCAGGAGAAGTATTATTAAAAGGCAAGAGGAAATCTGAGCAAGTGGAAAGTGAAGATCTTAAAGACTCTCCAAAGAAGAAGCAAAAGATTTCAGGTAATACAAATAACTTGTAACTCCAAGGTAAAAGCCTCCAGGTACTTCAGACTTCCTCTCTGCCCAACTGAACTTCTTTAGTAAGGCTTTTTGTGCTCTTTCCCACAACATCCTCACAGATGAGCTGGCAAAGTAGAGGTTGGATAAATGAACAGTGCAGTGGATTGAAAACCAACCAGTTTGAACATCCAGGCCCAGAGGGTTGTGATCAGCAGCACAAAGTCCAATTGGAGGCACATCACTAATGGTGTACCCCAGAGGTAAAAACTGGAGCCAGTACTGTTTAAAATTTTCATTAACGACCTGGACAGCATGCACCCTCAGCAAGTACACAGATGATACAAAACTGGGAGAAGTAGTAGTACATCTGATGGCTGTGCTGCCATTTGCAGGGACCCAGACAGGCAGGAGAGTTAAGCAGAGAGGAATCTCATCCGGCTCATCAAGGAGAAATGTGAAGTCCTGTAGCTGGGCAGGGATAACCCCATGTACCAACATATGCTGGGGGCTGACTTTCTGGAAACCAGCTCTGCAGACAGGGTTCTTGGTGTCCTGGAGGACAGCAAGCTGAACATGAACCACCAACTTGCTTTTGTGGCAAAGGCAGCCAACAGCATTCTGAGCAACATAAGGAAAAGCATTGCCATCAGGGCAAGGAAGGAGATCCTTCCTGGTCAGCACTGGTGAGGTCCCATTGGAGTCCCATGTCCGGTTCTGGGTTCCCCAATAGAAAAGAGACATGGACATACTGGGGAGAGTCTAGTGTAGGGCTGCAAAGATCATTAAGCGACTGGAATATCTTTCCTATGAGAACAGGCTGAGAGAGGTGCAACTCTTCAGTCAGGAGAAGAGACAGCTCAAGGAAATGTTATCAGTGTGTATACGTACTTGACGGGGGGGAAATGAAGAAAAGCGTGTCAGACTCTTCTCTGTAGTGCTTGTTGACAGGACAAGAGTCAATGGGCACAAAGTAAACCACAAAAAAATCTATCTAAATATAAGAATACACTTTTTTTACTGTATGGGTGATTAAACCCTGGCCCAGAGAGGTTGTGGAGTCTCTGTCAGTGCTGAAGAATGTGCTGGACACATTCTTCAGCAGCCTTGTCTAGCTGACCCTGCTTGCACACAGGGGTTGGACTAATTTGGACTTGTTTTTGTCACCAAGGATTTGGAAATGTGTAGACAGCACAAAGCTGCAAGAGATGGGAAGTGTGTGGAGAAAAGACTAAAATTGAAAGTGGTCTTGACATTAGAGAAAAGGTTTTAGAATGGAATACAGTGTGTAAAATTAAAGATAGTGCAGTTAGGAAGAAATACTAGCATAGCTGTAAGACAAAGAACTGCCTCCTAGGTGTCAGTTCTTCAGAAGAAGATTTGAGATATGTAACAGATCAAAAGCTGAATGACCAACAATGTCATACTTGTTTTTAAGAAGGCAGATGTTAGACTGAGGTGTTTAAGCAGAAATGTAGACTTTCAGACATTTTCAGTTGTTGCTGTAATGCAGGGTCACACTTTGAGTGATGTTTCCAGCAGGAAATGTGTGGACCAACTGAAGAGAACAGGGAGAAAAGAGCAAAAATCATAACCATGAGAAAATACTGGAACAATAGGAGTGGTTTAGTCTAAAGACTGGAATGAGTAGAGGAATGGACTGTCCGTTTGGTAGTCAACAAGTCATTAGATTGGCTCAACCATAGTGTGAATAGAGGATGATCCAGTGTGAAGAGCTGAGCTTTGTATACGAACAAATACACAGATTACTAGTATCTGGATGGGACTAATGCCTGCATCTGTAAAAAGCTATAGATTTTGAAAGGGATCAGGGAACATAATCTTGAAATTCCTTTAAAAAAAAAAAACAAAAAGTTGAACATTTTTGAATGAGTAGCTTTGAGACAGCAGACTAAATAGCATCCTCCTAGCAAAAAATCTCTGGTTTTCATAACAAGGCTCCCAGAATTAAGTCTTGTGGTCTTTCTTGTTTGTGTTATAACAGGAAAAAAACAGCAAGCTGGGACACCACAAAACTCCAAAACAAAAGGCCACTGTGTTCAGAAAGAACCAGAAACCTATGGCACAGGTAAGAAGAAGTAGCAGTTGATCAGAATTGTTTATAAAGCAGCTAAAAGATAAATGTGATTCTAGGATTTGCATCTGTGCCAGTGCTGTGTTTCTGGTATTTTCTTTCACTTTATTGTTATTAACAAGGAAGAACTGGCTGTTGTCCTTTTGGCACGGTGTCAGTACTGCAGAGCAAGAGTGGAGGGATAGTGTAGTTCCACGTGGTGAACGTGGAGGGGGAATCACTTTTGAACTGAGCAAAAGCCTGCTAAAATAGTTGCACTATAAAACTCATAAAAATATTCACACTTTTTTACTCAGCAGAATATGTTTGCAGGAAAAACTTTGTAGCTGTTAATGGCCAAATCACCTCTTCTGGTAACCTGGTAGCCAGAAACCCAAGGCAATCAATCCTACAAAAGTAACATTAGCCTTGACTGAGGAAGTGGAATGACTTGGTATGTGTACCTCACAGCACTCATTAAATACCCCAGTTTTCTGCCAAGTGCTGTTTGATTCACAGACTTTTCCCCTAGACACCTGGGGAGAAGTAACCCCTGCCTGTTATTATTGGGCAAAAAGGAAATCCTTTAGATCTTCTTATGATAAGAATTCAGGCAGATGGCTGCTAAGCCATGACCCAGAACCAATTTTAGTAATTTATCATTCTTATGGATTATGCCCAGCTTTTGTTTGGCATTTCAAAAAGAGGCCAGGAACTGGAAACCATTCCACACAGGGTACTTTTTCCCTGGCTGTTTAATAACTTGGTCTGGAGGTGTTTTGTTCACTTTGAGTGCCAAAACTGCTGACCAATATAAATGGAGTTCTTTGGTTAGTAGAACTGAAACATGGGACTTTGTCTGAAACTGTTCAGTCACACCTGTGACTGTTTTTACTGTGAAAACCCTGTATGCTAAAGTAATTGTGTAATAAAAATGAATAAACCAAAAGTCTGTACTGAACAGGTGGAAGGACACTCCTTGCAAGGGAATGGTAGGATTAAAGATTTTTTATAAAATGATTTCCCAAAAGAAGTGATGTGTGCCTTGCCACATGACATATTTAAAGCTGCAAGTGAACTAAACCTATTGAAATGTAGCTGAACATGAGTTTAGTAGCATGTGACTTGTTTCCTTCTAGGATTCATAGTGCATGTGGAAGGAAAAAAGAGGCACTGTATTTGCAGTTCTATTCCACAGCTTTGTTTTGACAGGTAGTCTGGAAGAGCAATGGTCTTTGGAAATTCAGGCCAAAGGCCGAGTTACCTGTCCAACATGTCGGGCTGTGGTGAGAAAGACTGTAGAAGGACTGAAGAAACATATGGTAAATTGCAGGCAGGTAAGAACACGAGAGATGAGCAATGTTTTCTTTACTCTTCAGCTTACAGAAAGGAATGCCTGCACACTTTTCTATGTGTTTTGTGTTGCACTTGAAACCGGTTTCATCTCATCATCATGGCTCTAAGCAAGAGTTCTTTATTTGTCTGTAAGAGGCTGTGCTTGGTTCTCCTTTCTCAGCCTTTTGCTGGAGATTTGGGGTAGTGAACAAAGATGTAGCTATTTCGTTGTTCCCCTAAATATAAGACTCCATGGAATCTCTTCTGTTCTTAATGGGCAGTTACCAGGCCCTAATAAAATGTTCTGCTCTCCTGCTCCTTTTTCCCAAAGAGCTTCCCAGTGCTTTAGTTAACTTAGTTACACACACACTGTCCTTGTTTATTTCCAGGAAATGTTCACATGTCATCACTGTGGAAAGCAGCTGAAGTCTTTAGGAGGGATGAAATACCATGTCATGGCAGACCATAACAATCAGGTATAACTGCTGTGCATCTAAAAATTGTACAGGCCAGACAGTTCCTTCCCTGATGCACACAGAAACAGAACATGGTGTGTTTTTTCAAAGGTTGTAGCTGTTCAAATCTTGTTTACCTTTGAAATTTGACATCTGATAAAACAGTAGAATATTAGAGATGGTAGGCATGCTATGTCTTAGAAAGAAGAGGTGGATTTCTGTTCAGGCTGGTCACTCATAAAAGGCATTTTCAATCGGAAAAAAAAAAAAGAAATGATTGCTCATTAGGCTGCAATTTTCAGTCCTTTGCTAGAAAGTAGTTTTTCTACATCCAGAGCAGACTAGATTTTAGTTCGAAGGTCAAAAAGCGAAGCAACAGTTTAATTCTTTTCTCTTTGTTAGTATTTTAACATAAAGATAGTAATACAGTCTGCTTTTCCTCTTTGCTATTTCTTTAAAGAAGGCAATGTCTCCTGTTGTGAAGAATTAAAACTTTTGAAAAGGTCATTCAGAAGTTTGGGTAAGGTTTACATAATTCATTACTGTTATTTTTTCATAGTTCTCAGTACTGTGGTTTCTGAACCTACAGCTGTACTAGGAAATGAAATAGGTCAGAACAATAATGTTCTGGCGCCAAGAAATAGGTCTGTCACCCAGTTTTAACTTTTTCTTCAGTCTAGGTGTAATATTATTATAAGGAAGTGTAGGAAATAACATACAGTAACCACCGGAGAATAGAGAACTTGAGCTGTATTTTAGCATAGGTGAATAACCATTACAGGCAGGTAATCTGCTTAGCTTTAGTTAGGCTAAGTGATAATGTTAAAGATGCATGACCCACATGAGTAAGTACTTTGCACAGGCAGAAGGGGGAGAAAAGTAATCATGGAAATGCATACCCTTGTCCTTCCCAGCAGCTATAGTTTGTGACCATTTAAGTGGTTTTCAGGCAGTTTACCCCTTCTAAAGAGAACTCAGTTGTTCTGGGATATAGACAGTGATCACTGTATTAAATACACTTCTGTAAAATCATAAGGTGAACAGATTTAATTATTTGAGGAGCTGTCCTTCAGTAGTGTGTTGAGTAGGCAATTCCCTATGAGAAGAACTGTAAATGCTGAGCATTCTTGGTTTTCTTTATTTCTTCTTGCTGTGCTTTAGCCAGTTGTGAAGGAGGGAGGAGAACTGGATGAGCAGCTTGAGCGAGACCGCCTTCGGAAGGTTTTGAAGCGTATGGGAAAACTAAAGTGTACGAGGGAGGTAAGCTGCGTTGTGCTGAGTGTCCTGAATTAAACAGCAGCAGATACACAAACATAAAACATTGAGAGTTCTGCTTGGTATGCTTTAGTGCTGGCCACAGCTGGATTTGTTTCATGATCCTAGCTATGCTTTTAAGACAGAATATCACAGAGTTATAGAATAGTTTGGGTTGAAAGGGACCTTTAAAGGTCATCTAGTCCACCCCTTACCTGCCATAAGTAGGGACATCTTCAACTAGATCAGGTTGCTCAAAACCCTGTCCAGCCTGACCTTGAATGTTTCCAGGGTTGGGGCATTCACCACCTCTCCAGGCAAACCCTTTCCAGTGTTTCACCACACTCATAAAAAAAATTCTTCCTTGTATCTAGTCTGAAACTATCCACTTTTAGTTTAAAACCATTACCCTTCATTCTGTTGCAGCAGGCCCTGCTAAAAAGTCTGTTCCCATCTTTCTTGTATTATGAAAAGCCTGCAATAAGCACTCTCTGGAGCCTTTTCTTCTCCAGGTTAAATAACTCCAACTCTCTCAGCCTGTCTGTAGGAGAGGTGCTCCAGCCCTCTGATCAAATGAATGGGGCCCTCCTCTGGACCAACTCGACAGGTCCATGTCTTTCCTGTACTGAGGACTCCAGAGCTGAATGCAGTACTCCAAACAGTGTTATAAACTGTTCTCAGAATTACACTATTGTTAAGGCTGGAAGAGAACTTCTGAGGTCATCTAGTTCAACCCCTGTGTTCAAGCAGGGTGAGCTAGAGCTCTTTGAGTAGTTGATGTGTTGGTGTCTTTAAGGGGGATCAGGAGGACACTGGATTGTTTCTTTTATGCACCAAAAATATTTTATTAGTGTGTACTTCTGCTCTTTCCTTAGTTGTTCATGATAGCTGGGAAGATGGTTTTTGTGCGTAATTAACTGTGTGTTTGTGGTTTTTGAAAATATGGAGATTGGCCACAGCAAGAGAAGGGGATGGAGGGCAGATGGCTACATCTGAGAACATTAAAAACTTCCTTATGCACATTTGATTTGTCCTATTTCCAAGCTCAGTGTCAAGCTGATCACTGGATTCAGGGTTAGGGGATACTCTAGTATCCCCTGTTAGATATACTTTTAGATTAGATATATTTTAGTTTAGATATATTAGATACTGGATTATAGCTAGTATCCCCTATTAGAGTATACTCTAGTAAGTGGCAGTCACAGAAACTGTTGTGTTTTTGTTGTCCTCTGCTGCAGCATGAGACAGTAGCTGTATCATAGGAATAGCTGAAAGTTTTATTTACCATCACCCTAATATAGCTGTGTTCTAGACAGTCTGACTAGCCAGCCAAGTGTAAAACCTTCCTCCTTTTCTGCCCAATTCCTCCATTTGAATCTGAAAATCTTTGTTTTGTGCATCCTCATTAAACATCTTGCTTCTTCATTCCATATATTGAAATTTTCTGTTGCCCTCTACCTACAAAGAAGTTCCAAGAAACAGTTTCTCCCCATTGCAGCCAATTCTTTGTCCTAGGTTTTATCTTGTCTTAATATGCTAACATTAAAGTTTACTACCTGATTGTGTCTGGTTTGGCAGGAATAGTGATAGTACTTTGGTCAGCAAACCATGGATTCTATACATGTGGTCTTGTGATTACTTGGAGAATGCTTTTCTTCCATGCATTTTTCTTTTTCATTGACAGGGCTGCACAGGTAGCTTCACTAGCATAATGGGATACCTGTATCATGTTAAAAAATGTGGGAAGGCAGCTTCTGAGCTGGAGAAAATGGCTATGAAGTGCCATCACTGTGGAAAAGCGTATAGATCAAAGGCAGGACTTGTCTACCATCTCCGATCTAAGCATGGGCCGGTAAGTGCAAATTGCCATAGTTATCAGGATACTGTGGTCGTACTTCACCTGCTCAGAGTTGAGACACACGTAGGCTTCTGTCTGCTGCTTGGGTGGGTAATGAGGGATAGCAAATAGAGTGTTCTGTTCTTGATACTTTCCTTCTAGCTGCACCTGTTGCTGTTCTGTGACTAGGAAGAAGTTTTTAATAGTAAATCAGCATGGCAACAGTAAACTTTTCCCTGTCTGATTTTTGCTCCATGGAATAATCATGCTAACATGTATGATGTGGGAGACACATTTTTTTGCTCTTAAAAGACCCAGCATTGGAACAAAACAGGCAGTACTGTGCTTGTTGTCTATGAGGGTTTTACAGTAAATGATGTGATATCCTTTCAAGACCAGTGGCTGCATGAAACTCTCTGCCTAAGCCTTAATGCTCTGCTCCCCTGAGTAGGTGTGGAGGTCTGCCTCACTAGTGGGATGCACTTCTGTCCTCTGTCTGTGACAGTGAACCACATTTGCAGCAGCATTTTTGTGAGGGATTTGGCAGAATGTTTATTCACGGTATTTAGTGTAACTGAAATAGGAATCAGTGAAGGAGGCTCACCTTTTTTGGCCTTCATTGCAGGTCACTTTCCTCCATGAGGAGAGAAGAACAGAGAGCCTGAAGGAAACAAAACGGGAGCCAAACAGCACAGGCAGAGTACAGAGGAGATCTGCAAAGGTGGCAATCTACTATCTCCATGAGCTAGCTGGAGAAGAGCTGGCCAAAGAGTGGCCCAAGAGAAAAGTTCTGCAGGACTTGATTCCAGATGATCGCAAGGTACAAGGCCTTAAAAATGCTATATAGGGTTTGAGTCTTTCTTCAGATGAGTCTTTACTGGCATCTACCCAATGTTGCCAGTGCTTAGTGGCCCATGCAAGGTAATATTGAAGAAGTAATGTCTTCTGGGAGGGATCGGGTTTCTCTCTAGTCTTAGATTATGGTATTGCTATAGTAGCAATTGCTGGGGTAGAAGTATTTTATCCAGGCTATAATGACTTTCAAGCCCTATTGCTGTAATTTTCAGTGGGCACAAGTTATAGGCAGTATGTTGCTCACAAGCCATAGGCTGCAGATCACTCCTGCCATGCAATGATATTTTGTAGTTTTTCAGGCTTCAGAGGCTCCAGGAGTATTTTTAGGCTGTAAGGGAAACCCAAGGGAAAAGGACGATTTATGATTTTAATGGGATAAGTACATTTAAAGGAATTGTTGTAGTCAAAGGTAAGGGAAGTTTTGGATTCTGGTATTGTGGGGGTTTTATAGGGTTTGAAGAGAGTAGACAGGAAAAGATTGGTTATGTAGAGTTTGGCTGTTAGAGCAGGAGAAGAAATAGCACTTCTGTCTCTGGGAGAGAAAGGGACATTTTTGGCAGTAAGTGTAGCCAACATAGCTTCCAGCTTTCAATTCCATCTCTTTATCTCAGCTGAAATATACTCGTCCTGGACTGCCCACATTTAGTCAAGATGTGCTGTGCAAATGGAAAACTGAGATAAAGATGTACCGAAGAGTCCACTGCCCAAATCAGGTAATCTTTAAGTACTTGTTTCCAAAGGCTCAAGGGGGACAGATTTCAGGACAGCTTTCCACAACCATGAAACTGCAGTTTGTCTCTCTTCCTCCTGCCTTACCCCATCCCCAGCACTTTCTCCCCAATTTTCAAGCTTGTGTCATTTTCAAGTAAAAGAATTGCAACATAACATTGTATATGGAGCTCTCTCCAGAAAGCAAGTGTCCTATAGCACTAACCAGTAACCCAGAAGAATGTCTTGCACCTACCTCCTGTTTCAGAGTCTGGGCTGTTGGCTGAGCATGATCTGATCCTGGGACTGATACCTGAAGCTCCACATGTGGACTGTAAAGCTGCCCTTTAACCGAGACCATTGATGCTGGATGCAGTATTTGTGTGCCACTAAATACAAGAGCAGGGCAGGAGAGATAGAAGTGTCTTGTACTTGCCCTCTGCTTTGTTTGAAATTAACCTCTGCTGCTCTTCAGGCAAAATGCAGACTCTGTCAGGCTTTTGATAGAGGGTGAACGTAATGTAACAATCTTTTTACTCAAAGCTTTCTGGCTTGTAGGACTTGGTATCTCCCTTCATCTGCCTCTCTTGTCCCTTTTGGAATTGACTTCCAGAGAATAAGACTTTCTTGTGCAGGAGCAAGTGATTTCTTACTAGAGTTTTGCTGACATGAAGTTTTTTACTGTTCCAGGGTTGTGAATCTGTATATGGCAGTGTCTCAGGACTCAAATCTCACCTTGGCACATGTACCTTGGTTGGTAACCTTCCTCTACTCACTGTCTTTTATACCAATAGCCTTACTGTCCCTATCTCTCAGATACCTCCTTGTTCAAGCTGTTGTTCTGCCATCTGCTAATCTGAGTTCCTCAGGGTCTCGAGTGCTTTCCTATGTGCGAATGGGGTTGCCATTGCAAACGCTGCTTGAGGCAAGGAGGAAGCATCTTAATGGCATGCATTTTAGTGAAACTGCAGTCCTACCTGTAGATTCACAGCTACAAGAACATTTTTTCCAGGTACAGTACTGGAGACCTTGTAACATCTCACAGAGCTGTCCTATGCTTTGTGGGCATAACTGGGAAATAATGTCAGTGCTCCTGTAGCTAAATCATTGTCTGGTGTGACAGTATGCACACAAACTAAGGCTGCAAGGCTGCCAACAGTCAGGAAATGCAACCCTAGTGTGTCCTCCAGTCTCTGTTGCACAAGGTACTGTCTCTACTTCATACACGGATGCTTAGGCTCAGCACCAGACAGTAGCATATGAGCTCTGGTCTGCTCAGAAGTGATATCTGGTCCAAATTCAAATACAATATATAGGTGTATCAGCCTTCTAGGCAGCAATTGGTGATGGTATTTTTTTGTTTTGTTGCCAGGGTGACTTTGTGGCTGGTAAATACAAGTGTCTTCTGTGCGAGAAGGAGTTCATTTCAGAGAGTGGAGTCAAGTATCACATCAACTCTGTGCATGCTGAGGTAAGGCAGGCAGAATGGAAGTCTTCACACCCCAGGTTGTTGGAGGAGGGAAGGAAATGCTGGATGCTTGCCTTGTTTTATTTTTTCCTTGCTCACTGTTGGGAACAGGATCCTAGACTCAAGTGGACTTCAATTTGTTTAAGCATAGCTGGTCTTACGCATTGGTCTGGGGAGCAAGTACTGTGTCATGTCCCGCGTCCCCAGTTGCTGCTGCTCAGTTTAGCTCTTCAGCATTTCCCATGCCTTTAGCAATGGCCAGATCAAATCTCTGAGACAGTGACACCTGAGGAGGAACGTCAAAGAACAGAGCTTTGTTAGGCAGCTGCCTTTCCGGATCTCACATTTCAGGAAACCTTTTTCCCACAAAGCAGCTTTATTATAAGCCCCGATAGGCTTTTCATAGTATTTCCATCATCAATACCAACCTGTTGCCCTCTCAACCCTGCAGGACTGGTTTGATGTGAATACAACTACCACCAAAAGCTTTGAGAAGCTAATGAAAATCCGCCAAAGAGAAGAGCAGAGGAAGCAACGGAAGAAACGTCCTTTGACCAGGGGCAAAAAGAAGAGAACTGCAACCCTGACTGCCAAGAAACTCCCCACTGCTGGAGCTGAGAAAATGAGGAGAAGTAAGAGAGGTCGTCCAAAGCGGGTGGACAATGAGAGTGCGAGTAGTGAGGAGGGGGAGCCCCAAGTTGCACAGAGAGCTGAATTTCCAAAAAGCAGCCGCAAGCGAGGCCGAAAGTAATTCCCTAGAAGAAGAGAAGGAATAATCCTAAAACTTTTCAGTTACAAGCCCCACTTCTGTCTGGCTCATAACCCACAGCACTAATATAAGCAACTGAGTGTCTTTGGGACTGTGACTCCATTTTACTCAGCGACCTTGGTTTTGAAACTGTTGCCTCTGGTCCCTTGTGAGAGACTTTAAACCAAAGCTGTGGTACAGAGGATACCTCTCCTGGTGTAGTACCCTTGGACAGTGGCACTAGCAGTGTACCCAGTGTAGTTACTGCTCTGGTTACAGTCTCAGTTTGGGTCACATTAGTTGCTTGATTAGTGGTTTCCAGTACAGCAGCTGTCCGTTATGTCATATTCCTCTGATGGGTGAGATCAGGGTTCTTTTTTAGCAGTTCTTCCTCTAAGGGACTGACTAGCACAGTGTTTAGGTCTCTGTAAAGGAGGAATCCTTTCTTGCACAGTATGCACGCAAACTAAGGCTGCAAGGCTGCCAACAGTCAGGAATTGCAACCCTAGTGTGTCCTCCAGTCTCTGTTGCACAAGGTACTGTCTCTACTTCATACACGGATGCTTAGGCTCAGCACCAGACAGTAGCATGTGAGCTCTGGTCTGCTCGGAAGTGATTGTACATCATTATTACCTTTGTCAGGAACCCAGTATTCCCCTGGCATGTCTTCTGTAGCACTGGACATTAAATGTATGTAAAGGGTCTTCCAGTCCAGTGATGAATAAATACTCTCCAGCCTTTTAGAGATTCACTGGCCCTACAAACCTCCAGTAACTAATGTAGTGAGGTGGTCTTCTTGGGCTTTCTGAATACCACTTGTTTCAGACTCACTTGGGAAACAAACTTGCTGCACAACAGTGCATATCTACAGTAGCAGTCTTGCTGATACTAAGACCCAGGTTCCATTGAACTACCTTGCCAGTGATATTCTTTGTCATGCCCATGCTCCTATAATGTCCTTTTTTTCTGTGCTATAGTTGGCACCTTTGTTGTGTTATATCACCTGCTTCTTTCCAATACTGCTTCCTTTGTGTGAATGAGGTACATTAGCAGTGACTTCCCTGTGTGGAAAAGGTTAAAAGAAGAGGGTTCATTATTTTAAGCCACACGTTGGCATGAACTCTGGATCATAGGGAGTATCTTCTGTGCTCCATAAATGCAGCAGAAGCTAGTAGGAAGCAGCACCACAGGCAGTCATACTCTGTCTTTCAGAGAATGGGTTCAACAGAATTCCTGTTATCCAAAGACTCACTGTACCAGGAAGTTGCAAAATTTGGCCTTTTTCTTGAAGTTTTCCAGGCAAGAAAATAGGCAACTGGCTCCATGTTATCTCCCTGTGAATTTTCATTGTCTAACAGAGTTGTTGGTTCTGAAATTCACAGGGAAGCCATTGCAGTGCCTGGTGAACAGGTGGGCTTTTATATATATACTATATATATATATATATATCATCATAGAATGGTTTGGGTTGGAAAGGACCTTAAGATCATCCAGTTCTAACCCCCCTGCCATGGGCAGGGATGCCTCATCTTCACCTTAGACCATGTTGCCCAAGGCTCCGCCCAGCCTGGCCTTGAATGCTGCCAGGGATGGGGCATTTACCACTTCTTTGGGCAGCCTGTTCCAGTGCCTCAGCACCCTCACAGTAAAGAACTACTTCCTTATATCTAACCTGAATATGTGTCATTACCAGAATAATCACACTGGCACTGACAGTGGGAAGTGCTGTATGGCCAAGGGTGTTCTCAATAGCTGCTTCTCCCATATAGCAGACAAAGCAGACCCCAGCTGAGCATGGTCTGTCTCATGGGGATTAACACATGTATGGTAGTGAGACAGTATGTAGTGCTCCATTGTGATTTACATGGAGTGGTTACGCTGCCTTTTGGAATCAGCTGTCACTGTGGTTGCAATGCGGTGCTGAAAGTATAAATTGTGTGCAGGTTGTGTAAGGTGTGCAGGAAGGTTGGCAAGGTCAGAAGACAACAAAATAAAATGTCACCAGTGTGAGAATGTGGTTTCTTGTCTGTTTGGTGTGTAGTGTTCTTGGTTCCATCCCTATTTGCACAACACATCCCAGCCTGCCCACTTGGTTGTCCTGCATGCTTTGGTCCTCTTCAGTTGTCTGCACCATTTCTCCTCAGTACTCTACACAGCTGTACTTTGACCACGCATATTTACTACTTTCCTACTCAATAGATGGACAAGATAAACCAATGAATTAAAGGAGGTTTTTCTTAGTAAATTTCAGTCTAGAGTCCTTTTTACTGACATTTATGAGTTACTAACCAGACCTGCTTTCTAGATTCCACTTCCAGGTGGATACTTAGTCATCACCTGGATTTTGTAGTTACATCAACAACGTATTCCCCCACATAACATGGCATGTGGAAAAGAATTATTATTCAATAGTCCATTCATACTCCATCAGTGTTAAAGCAGATTATTTGCTGGATTGGCTCAAGATGAAAGAGGTGGTAGCACTGCTGCACCAGCATAATTCACTGCTGCTGAGGAGTGTGATCTGTGCAGGAGCACCTTGCTGTTGATGCAGTGAGGCGGGTTACCAGTATGACTGCAGCTGTGCTTTACTGCTCTGAGGGCATTGGAAAATTTAGCCTCGAGGAAGGTATTTTAATCAGGGAATTCACAACATCAAGTGTATCCAGGGCTATAAATTAACTTTAAAAACCCTGTTAACTGTACTGTGCTTACCACTGTTCCAGCACCCATGAGTGTACTGTTCAATCCATTGTTGAGTTCAGTTAGCCTAACATCTTGCAAATCCAGGTATAGAATGCAGAATCAGAATGGTTTGGGTTGGAAGGGACCTCTGAAGGCAGTCTAGTCTACCTCTTTTGCCATAGGCGGGGACACCTTTCACTAGGTCAGGTTGCTCAAAACCCCATCAAAACTTGATTTTGAACACTTCAGTGATGGGGTATCCACAGCTTCTCTGGGCTAGTGTCTCACCACCCTCATCATAAAAAGTTTTCCTTATGTCCAATCTAGCTCTACCCTCTTTCAGTTTAAAACCAGGGTTCCTCGCCCTGTCACTGCAAGCCTTTTTGAAAAGTCTCTCCATCTTTCTTATAAGCCCCATGATATGCTTAAGCAGCCTTAAGCTGCAGTAAGGTCTCCCTGAAGCCTTCTCTTTTCCAGGCTGAACAACCCAGCTCCCTCAGCCTTTCTTCATAGGAGAGGCATTCAAGCCCTGTCTTTTCATAGCCCTGCTCTGACAGGTCCATGTCTCTTGTACTGTGGGCCCCAGAACTAGATGCAGTTGTCCAGGCAGGGTCTCACCAGAGCAGAGAATCACCTTCTTCAACCTGCTGGTAATGCAGCACAGGAAATGTTTGGCTTTCTGGGCTGCAGGCACGCATTATCTCATGTCCGTTGTTTTTTTGGTATCTCCCAAGTCCTCCTCTGCAGGGCTGCTCTCCATCCGTGGATCTCCCCCGTGTGTATTGACATTGGGGATTGGTCTGACACATGTGCAGGACCTTGCACTTGGCTTTGTTGACCTTCACAAGGTTCATGTGCACACACTCCTCAAGACTGTTCAGGTCTCTCTGGATGGCATTCCTTCTCTCCAGTATGTCAACTGCACCACACAGCTCAGTGTTATCTGCATACCTGCACTCAATCCCCCTGCCTACATCACTGATGAAGATTTAAATACTATCAGTGCCAACACGGACCCCTGAGGGACACCACTTGTTGCTGATCTCTATTTGGACATTGAGATGTTTGTTGACTGCAATTCTTTGGATGTGGCCTTCCAGCCAATTTCTTATCCACTGAATAGTCCATCCATCAAACCCATATCTTTCCAATATAGTGACAAGGATGCTGTATCTTTGAAGGAGCCTGAAGGATGCAAGTGCAATGTACAGAGGTTACTGGATGTAATACTGAATTTCAGTTTGTAATACTGAATTTCACCTGCTGTTCCATCTCCCAACCACTTAGTATTCTAAAATGCTTTAGCATTTCTTTGTGGTTACTTTTCAGTTTTTATTGCTCTCTATAATCCCCAAACCTGGTCTTAATCCCTGCCCACTTTCTAGATTATGGCAGGGGGAACAGCTCAGTGTTAATGTGGATCCCTATGGGATACCCAGAGTGGCCTCACTCCCCTGAAAATGCCAAATGTCTCCTCCAAATGCTTCCTCTAACCTCCAACGAAGAAAACCATTGTGTTTAATGCATGGCAGTCTCACTTTTAAAAAAGGTATGGGTGAGGGACTTCATCAAAATCTTTTGGAAATTCAAATAGATGCAGCAAGAAATAGTCGAATATACGTAGAAAAGTCTTGTGAGGTTTACTTGTTTTCAAAGTACTTGAGATGTGTGAAGTCTGTCTTCCTTTTATGGATATCCTCATACCCCATCATTCCTTTGCATATTAGTTCTCTTCAGTATAACCCTTATTGCCACATGGACTGGCCTCTGGTTTCCTTGAGGTGAAGCAGCCGCCCACAGACACAACTCCGCGTTGACCATCTGTCCTCATCGAGGGCAGCAGGAGCACTGACAGCCCAGATGCAATGCTGGACTGTGGATGCCCAGAAAGAGCAGGGCCATCCAAGGGCAGGTGAAGTACAGGCCTTTATGTCCACCACATCACACCCAGGAATAAGCATGACCTGCAGCATGCAGGGGCTAAGAGCCCTCCCTCATCGTGAGGCCATGATTTTCATAACCTCTTACATGGTTCTGTCTCACCCAGGAATCACTAGGATTGGTTCATGGTTAGTCTATGATAAAATAAAGGCTTTATTTGAATAACTAACTGGGTTTGGTTACCTGCTTCTGACTTAAAAGACCTTTGAACATAATGCAGATGGATTTTTGGACCTGATACAACATGCATAAAGAGGGACACTGCACTAGTTAATGTCTCAGTGGAGCTGCCCAAGAGAACCACCCCAATCTCAGTGTTAATCCTGCTGTATTTTAATTATGAAATTGACCTACTTAATGTTGACGGCAGCTGGCCTTCAGAGTCAAGCAATGCTTGGAGTAGTGTCATGTTTGGTGTTGGTTTCATCACTAGCATCACCATCAAGCAGTGTCCCAGGGTGACACTGCCAGCGCAGGTCACCAGACCACATCGCTCTGGTCCCAGGCCCTGGCTCTGCTCCCAAGCACACTGCAGATATGCACAACTGTATATCCAAGTTATACAAATAACTTGGATGTTATCTGTAACATCCAAGTTGCAGATAATACTAGTGCAAGGAAAATGA